CATCGGGCTCCCTGCTCAGCAGGGAGTCTGCTTCTCCCTCTGACCCTCTTCCCTCTCGTGCTCTCTATCTCTCATTCTCTCTCTCTCAAGTAAATAAATAAAAAAAATCTTAAAAAAAAAAAAATGTGGTAGAAATGGACAGTGTTAGTGGGCGGCAGTAGGAGCAAAATTCTTATTTTTTGTATCAGGGGATATAAATAGATATCTAGAATTGATAAATTTAAAACTAGTGATATAAGGGGCGCCTGGGTGCTGCAGTCGGTTAAGCACCCTACTCTTGGTTTCAGCTCAGGTCATGATCTGAGGGTCGTGAGATCGAGCCCCAAGTCAGCCTCCGTGCTGGGTATGGAGTCTGCTTGAGATTCTCTCCCTCTATCCCCTCCCCTGCTGCTCGTGCTCTCTCTCTCTCAAATAAATAAATCTTAAAAAAAAAAAAACTAGGGATATAAGATTAGTAGGAAATAGAGAAGCAACTACCTGGAGGACTAAATTTAGACATTGGCAAAAACAAAACACCAAACCCCCCAAAACTCCAAAAACAGAAAGCAAGTGTCTGGAAAGGGGTAGACTGGGGAGGGCTGGCTGGAGCCGAGAACTGCTGCTTTTCATTTTGAATTCTTTATTATCCATATTTTAAAAATGTGCATCACTTGAAATTTTAGGAGACTATAAAAATATATATAAAATTAGTGCGTACGATAATTCTTTCCCTCCCATAGATACCCATTCTTCTTCTTCTTTTTTTGAAAAGAGCATGGAGCCCGACATGGGGCTTGATTTCATGACCCTGAGATCAGGAACTGAGCCGAAACCAAGAGTCACATGCTTAACCGACTGAGCCACCCAGGCGCCCTCATCTTATCCATTCTTTAGGACCGAATCAGCTTCATCTCAACGACCCCCAAGCACTAGGCATAGACCATGGAGTCCTTTCATTACATAATGAAGCGACTGCTCTTGGAGATATATTACCTGGGCTTGGCTCTAACCTGTCAGGTCTTTATTTAGCTTTGTGAAATGTTGTCGTTTTGCCAGTGTTATAGTTTCAATTAGTCATTCGTTTGCTCATTCCTTCATTTAATGTATATATTTCTTGAATACCTACCACAGTGCTAGGAACTGGGGATAGTCTGGTGACAAAGGCACCCGATCCCAAGGAGCTCTAGTCTCTTAGGAAGACACAGTAGTCACTAGACAATTATAAGGTGATGGACATAAAGAAGGGCACTCTAGGAGTGCATGGGAGGGGAACCTACAGTCTTGGAAGTCAGCAGGGCTTTCTGGAGATGGTGACTTGAAATCGGGATCTGAAGGATGAATAGAAGCTAGCCTGGTGAAGGGGATTCAGGAGGGGACATAGCAGCCTTGGGAGAATGGCTGCCATGTAGACTGCAAAAGAGGGGATTTAAGGGAATGTAGGCAGAATGACAGACCCCCAGAGATGTCCCTGTCCTAATCCTCAGGACCTGTGAACATATGACTTTACAGGGCAAAGGTTCTGCAATGTGAGTTAATGTAGGACCTCAAGATGGGGAGCTTATCCTGGATTATCTAAGTGGCCCCATATAATCATAGGACTTTTTATAAGGAAAAGAGGAGGCGGTAAGACCCATTTATGATTTCTGATCTCCAGAACTGCACAATAATACATTAGTGTTATTTTAAGCCTCCAGATTTGCAGTAATTCATTACAGCAGCAATAGGAAACTGATAATGGAAAGAAGGCTGGAGAAATAGGGAGGGACGGGAGGATGAAGTTCCCCGGATGACATGTTAAGGAGTTTGGACTTTATTCTCAGGGCAGTAGGAGACTTGAAGGGTCATACTTGTGTTTCAGAAAGATTGCTTCAGGCAAAGTAAGGGGGAAGTGGGGGAGGTGGGTGGCAGGACCAGGTCTCCTCATGAATCTGCTAGCGTGGACTCTTCCACACACTGCCCTGGATGGTCCTTTCTCTGGTGACGGTCCCCTCTGGTGTTGGCTCAGCAACGACCCTGACTTCTCTATGTCAGAAAATACCGAGTACTCCATACTGAGCTTTGAGCCAGGAAAAGAGACACGGATGGACGGACGCAAGGAGTGCAAGTTCCCGGGGCTGGGGCAGCCTCGGCTCCAAGAGGAGGTTTTCTCACCTTGATTCTCCACGTCCTTCAGGGGGTCCACCCCTGGAGACAGGATGAAAAACATGGGTGTGGCTGGTCCTGATTCCTCAAATGAGGTCACAAAGTCTGGCGCTCTTCCCGCCACGTATTGGCTTCCCAACTTCTCCTTGACAAAATCTCTGCCGGGAAAGAAGTACACACACGTACATCCATCACAGAACTGTGACACTTGAGACAGGGAGGCCTACAGACATGGCAGAATGTACTCAAGGTCATGGGCTTGGTAGTTAGTTACAGAGTTGGGGCCAACTTCCGGTTCCCTAGTTGTTAAGCCGACGCTTAGAACCTGTGCTGCTATTGCTGGCCTACTGGCCTAGATCAGGGCTTGTTCTGAATCCCCATCTGACCACGTCACTGCCAACTCCTCTGGGAAGCCTGGGTGTCCTGTCCCATCACCACCATCTGCCGGAAGATGGCCAGGATCAATGCTTTCTGGAAGCCTGCAGGCAGCTACATCCTTCATACTCCTTATGCCTGCGGTCTCCCTTCCCTGCTCAAGATTTAAGGCCCTCCGCCTGCCTATGCTCTCATGCTCCTATCTCTGTTTCATCTTATTCCACTTACCAACGTTCCTTTCTAAACCTTGCAGCTGCAACCACTTATTGGTCATCTGGCCCAACTCTTGGCCTTAACTCTTCCCCAAAGACACTATTCTCTGGGCAGTCTCTTCTGTTGGGCTCATTTCCTGCCTCTGACCTACCTCAGGACTGAGTTGGGATCACTTTCCTCCTCACTGATGACTGCTATTTCCAAACCATGACTTCTCCATGCTTGGGGGGCTGTGGACCCCACGTTCCCCTGGCTGCAGCACCACGACCCCTGCACGTCGATGTCACCTACTAGGCCACCAACACTCTACTCCTTCCCTGAACACTTGACTCATGGACCATCTCCGCTAGCCCGAGTGACATCAACATCCCTGTGGATAATCCTCCAGATTCTTAATCTTCATATCTTCCCCCATTCAGCCACCTGAATTCATGGCCACACCTTCATCCTTGTCATTACTTGAGGACTTTTTCTATATCTGAAACCTTAAATTGAAACATCGCACTCTCTAAGACTGTTGAATCACAGATCTGTACCTCTGAAACAAATGCAATATATGTTAAGAAAAAAAAAAGAAGAAGAAGATAGCTGGGAGGGGGAAGAATGAAGCGAGTAAGTCGGAGGGGGGAGACGAACCATGAGAGACGATGGACTCTGAAAAACAAACTGAGGGTTCTAGAGGGGAGGGGGGTGGGGGGATGGGTTAGCCTGGTGATGGGTATTAAAGAGGGCACGTTCTGCGTGGAGCCCTGGGTGTTATGCACAAACAATGAATCATGGAACACTACATCCAAAACTAATGATGTAATGTATGGTGATTAACATAACAATAAAAAATTTAAAGAAAAAAAGTTCGCTGTTTAAAGAAAAAAAAAAAAGAAACATCGCACTCTCTGACTAAAGCCTCCTGTCAGCAATTCAACAACTGACCCTAATTCTACCTCTTGTTTGCCTGCATTGGTGTCATGACAAATGTAGGATTTTCAGTATTTTGGTCTCCCTGTTTTCGTTTTTAAAAATCATCCCCTTACTCGGGCACCTGGGTGGCTCAGTCAGTTAAGCATCTGACTCTTGATTTTGGCTCAGGTCATGATCTCAGCATCAGGCTCCACGCTCAGCTTAAGATTCTCTCTCTCCCTCTGCCTCTGCCCCTTGCTCCCTTTCCTGCATGCTCTCTCTCTCTCAAAAAAAGTTAAAATAAATAAGTAAAATAAAATCATCTCCTTACTCTCTTCACTTCTTTCCTATACAGTGTAGACTCCATGGCCTATAACCTTAAAAAACAAACAAACAACTTCTTGAGGTACAATTGACATACCGTAACACCTATCTATTTAAGTATACTATTCAATAATTTTTGATAAATTTACTGAATTGTACAGCTTTCAATAATTTTTGTATACTATTCAATAATTTTTGATAAATTTACTGAATTGTACAGCTTTCACCATAATCCAGTTTTAGAACACTTTCATCATGCCAATAAGATTGCTCCTGCCTACTCTAAGAATTACTGTTCCCACCATCCAGCCCCAGGCAGCTGCTAATCTGCTTTCAGTCTCTATAGACTGCATGACTTATGGTATCCAGTCATTATCTCGCCAATATCCTCATTCCCCCTTGCCTAACTCATACCCTGACACGCCAGCTTGAACTGAGCCACACTCTGGACCACCTGAACTCTGCATCTACACCTGGGCTGTTGGATGTTGCTGTGGAAAACCATCCAATGGTGAAGACTGGTGCCATTACCAACATAGGATCGTAACTAGGAAGCCCTCAATGCTGCTGGGAGTTCTTCGGGTTTTGCTGGTCGGCCTTTTCTCCCACTTGTCACAGACTCTATTGCAAACTCTGCATCCTCCTCAAATTCCAACACTGCCACCTCCTCTGACACACAGACTCAACTGATGGCCTTGCTCCCGACTCCTCAGAGAAAATAGAAGCCATTACACAAGATCCTCCTCAGTTTTCTTCATCCTTCTACTACCTCAGCCACAGCCTCAGCTCTTTCTCTCTCCCTTCTTTGTGGTCAGAGAGATGTTCTTCCTCTTTTTTTTTTTTTTATATGAAAAGATGTTCATTGTCATTAGTCATTGGGGAAATACAAATCAAAACTACAATGAGATACCACTTCATACCCATTAGGATGGCTATTATCAAAAGAAGAAGGAGGAGGAGGGGAGGGTGGGGAGGGGCAAAGAATTTCTTCCTACCGTGGATGATCCTTCCGCCTCTTCTCTGGGCACCATTATCTCTCACCACATCAGGTGTACCCAGCATCCTTCTCAATGCTGATATCGACGAGCACCTCTTTCTAAACTGTCCACTTAGATATTAAGAAAATACATGGCAAACACAGAGCCATAGGCCTTGTGGGATTTGGGATGTTGGTACAAAAGCTCCTGTTACTACGAACACATGACCTTTGTGCTCAGCTCTGCTAGTTGGGCCATGCTGAGACTGCCCCATGCCTGCCCTGGGGTTCCCCACTCTGCCGTGCCCCTTACCGCATGGCGTAGGTCATCCGGTCCGGCCGCATGACTCTCATCATGCAGAGGCGCTGCAGGGCTGTCTTGTTCTTCCACTCCTGTGGAAACTTCTCCTTCTCGGGACATTCCGATTCCACAAACTTTTTCCAGCTCTTGGCAGATCCCTCAATGTCCCGATCCAGATTATAAAATCCTTCCATTGATGAAAGTGCCTGAGAAATTTTAGAGAATCTTGCTCTGAAATGCAGTTTCTCCAGAAAGCTATAATTTTCATTGTGTTGGGGGAGGGGGTCAAAGAACAAGATCATAGTGTAGATATAATTCTGTCTCATTCATACTCTTGTCTGGAATCTTGGACCTTTCCCCCCAGCTAAACTCAAGGAAGCAGAAGGCATTGATTCAAGTCACCTTCTGCAAACTGCACCAATAACGTGCAAGATTTAGCAAATAAAGTGTTTGGATTATTAGTAGCAGCAGAGATTGAGCAGCACTTGCCTGCAGGGTATTGTCTGGATGGAGGGACAAGAAAGGATGCCATGAATTTTCTGGTCATGGAGCCCAGACCTTTTAAGTCTCTGACTCCTTCGTTTCAGGACTCAGTCCGCTGGCAACTCCTGTCAAGTTCTCTCTCAAGGCGTCCCTAGCATCACTGACTTCGTGTTAATGCCAACACTAAATTTTCCATGAGTTGCCTGTTTCCATAAGAATGAAGCACAGATGCATAACTTGGTAATCAAATGTCTTCATTTAGTGCTTCCTTCTGATCCATCCAGTGAACCAGGCATCCTGCTTCCCTTCTACTCTGTCCAAGAGTATCTGTGGCCAACCTTGGAGCTGTGCCAGACTCATTACCAACTCAACTCCCCGTTTACTCTACTTTCACCATGTGAGAGGTCCTTGTTCTTTCCTCCCCCCAATTCCACTCCGTCCTTTTCTTGTGCTGGTCCTGATTAGTATGTGTTAAGGTCCTACAAGTTGTTAAAGTCCTGTTCATAATTAGCAACCTCTCTCAGGTTCATCCTCTCTAACCTAGAACACAGAACCTTCCCATCCTCCTTGTGTGTGCTACTTGGAACTACCTGTGGAGTTGATATCTTTAATAAAGGGTCTGACTCAATGTTTAGATGTTTGATTGTGATGGCTTTAAAGTCTTATCCCTCCATCTTCCTTTTCTGCTCCACATCCAGGCAAGCTGATAAGAGCATTGGCCCTCCCTCCTCTTGGGCTGGAGGGAAGTTGTGGCATGTAATCTCCTGCCCACGTACAGGAATACTCACCCTGGCCCCAACCCTAAACTACCAAAAAAACTCCAAGGGGGTCTCCTTCCTCGGCTCCCCCAAGCCATTTTCAGACTGCTTGGGAGCTCCTCTGCTCTCCCAGAAAGACTCATTATGTGAGTAATAAACTCTTTAATACTCTCTTGGTATGTGTGTGGCATCATCAGTCTTGATATCAGAACAAAATTTTGGGTGGGGTTTCTTCTCATTCCATTTCTCCAGAGTGCCCACATAAACATTAGTCACGTGGGACATTTACCTGCAATCTTTCCATGATTACTCAACTCTGCTTGTATGTTTGGTCTCTTCAATGAGATTAAAAACTAGACTATGTCCAAACCACCTACCGAAATGCCACGAATTTTAAGGATCCCAAAACATTCTTTATATTTGAATTCATTCATTCATACATTCAATTCAACATTTATTGAATGTCTACTACATGCCAGGTACTTGGGTATACAAAGGAAAACAAGAAAGGACACATGCCTTCCAAGGAGCTTGCAGTCCTAAGTTAAGGAGAAAGAGGCGATGAGGGAAGCCTTAGTAGGTATACAGAATTCATTTGGGCAGAGACAGAGATAAAGAGAAGGGAAGGGCATTTGTAGGGTGGGGTCAACAAGAGTCAAAGTCTGGAAAAGGAAGAGTGTGGGACATGTCAGAAAGCAGGGTGACTGCAGGAGAGGAGTCTTACCAGTGACTGGGGGCGGGTAAAGCTGGAGAAGGACAGAGACCCTTAACCTGGGCTTGCCTCGGCTCATTTCTCATGCGGATGAACCCATGTCCTGTCTTTATGTGCCCTTTCACACGGGCTCTGTGGTCCCCCAACTTCACCCTGGCCACTTAGCAGGGGATGGGCATAACTCGTACTGAGAAGTGGGGTGGGGAGCAGTGTGTAGGATGGAGAAGGGAGCGCCAGGAGTCGAAGGTTCTGGTCTCAGCCCCCCTCTTAGGAGCCTCTTGTGACTCAGAGATTGCTTTTAAATTTTGTGGGCTTTGATTTTCTCATTTGGAAAATGAGGCCAAGTCATCCTTGTCTGCATAGCTCATATTCTAATGCAGATACAAGTGCTTTGAAGACTATAAAGGCCTCCCTGGTGCTTCCTTGGGGTGCCTACAGTTATTGAATTGCAGTTGCTGGTGTACTTTGCCACTTCCCACAAGACGGTGAGTTCCCTGTGGGCAAGAACTTTCTTAGGCGGCTTTGTATGCCTTGGCCTTGCAGGCTGCTTGGCACTTAGAAAGTGCTCAATTAATAAAGTTTGACATCTGGGTGGACAGTGGGAGGGCTCTTGACAGGCTGAGAAAAGCTGCCGCTGCTGTAATCACTTCTCTCTGGGCTGAGGAACTGGCTCCCATCTTCCTCCCAGCCTGCATCACCATTAACCCTTCTGAGCACCCATTACCCCCTCTGGCGACACCACAAAACGGAGCAAATAATGCTCTGATCAGTGTCCCCAGCTGCCGCGACTGGGTCTGGGACGGACTTTCTTGAAGCTCTGGGTTGAACACAATGGCCCCATTTAATCTCCCAAATGAGGGAAAGGGATTTCTAGCCTTCTAATAAGCTAAATGGAAATGACTAATTAACCTAATTGCATTGGACTGTGTAGCAAAACACAACTGTGCTCAATTGGCATCCGGAGGGGTTGGGGAGAGGCTGACAGGGATGTGCATCACAGATGAGATTTTTATAACGAAGAAACAGAACATGCCCATTACCTTCAAGTTCAGCATTCGGCGAAACTTAAGATAAAAAAATCCTTACGGAGGGTAAACAATAAAAGCACTGTTTTATCACCCAGATTTCACTCATTACCCGCTTATTAGTTCTTTTGGAGGGCAACAAGGCAATCGACCTTCCTCACAGATAGAATTAAAAGACCTTTTTTTATCATGTCTTATTCAATCATATTTGTTTCTTTAGGCTAAAATCCAACGGAACACTTAAAAGGAGCATTTATCAAAGGCTTCAGGGATGTACACGACACACTGCGTTCTGTTTCAGCTGCTCACATCTGGCCCTGTGCTTGAGTTGGACGGGTCTGGACTCTGCCGCTCCCCATAACACGACTCACAGAAAGAGAGAGAAAGCTTCATGCATTTCTAAAAGCCTTTGAAAAGCCAGAGAAGCCTAGCCCACAAAACCAAACATAAAAGCAAAGCAAAGCAAAGCAAAGCAAAGCAAACAATCTGTCTTGTGAAAAGAGAGATGGAACCAGGTGGCACAGAAGCTTCGGAGTGGAGTAACGTAAAATGAAAATAGTAGGGAGTGGCTTTGAATCCTTTATTCTTTCTGACTTTTGCTGCAGAGGGTTTTGTGGGATAACATAGACAAAGGCAACTGGACTTGATCCAAACTCACAATTCCTCAATGTTTTTCCTTCAGTGGGCAAATGCCATCAGGCCTGACCCACATCAACCACAGCGTATGTACACACCACAGCTGGGTGATGAATAATCGTAAATCTTAGGCGTGAACTGTGTTCCCCAAAAAGACATGTTGGAGAAGTAACTTCCCAGACTGGTGGATGTGGCCTTATATTTGGAGACAGGGTCTTTGCAGGTTCAATCAAGGTGAGATGAGGTTACTAGGGTGGGCCCTAAGCCATTAGGACTGGTGTTCTTATAAGGAGGGAAGATGGTCACCTGAAGACCATGGGGATGGGCTGAGTCTGCCACAAACCAGGGAGCACCTGGAGCCACCAGAAGCTGGAAAATGCAATGGAGGAACCTCTCCTAAGAGGCTCTGGAGGGAGCATGACTCTGCTGACACCTTCATTTCAGACTTCCAGACTCCAGAACTGCGAGAACACCCAGCTTGGGGTGCTTTGTTATGGCGGCTCAAGGAAACTAGCTACGGCAATCAGTTCACGTTTACTGACCATTTACTGTCTGTTTGAACCCCATGAAATGGGTATGATGACGGCCATTTTGCTGATGAGGAATGAAAAGTTCAGAGGAATAAGATAATATGCCAGAGGTCACATACACTCAAACTTGAACTTGAACCCAGGAATGTCTGACTCCAGAGCCTGTGTTAACCAGTCTATCATTGCAGCAGTTCTGCAAAGGGGCTCAATCAGAACTGATTTCCAGAATTTATCTTCCATAAGGGCACATAGGAGGCACTATTCTCAACTCTAGGTCTACACTGTCCAACAAGGTTGTCAATGAGCAGGTGAAATCGACTCATGTGACTGAGGAACTGTGTTTTTAATCCACTTAATTATAATTATTTTAAAATTTAGGTTTAGAAACTGGAACTTGCTTTCATAGTTGGAAAACTTTTAAGTATGTTTGGAAAAACTGAGGTATAGGAATCAATGATTTTAAATCTAGATTTTAGGAAATCTAAATACTTTATCAAGTATTTTTTAAAAGATTTTATTTTATTTAAGTAATCTCTACACCCAATGTGGGGCTCAAACTCACAGTCCTGAGATCAAGATCACATGCCCCAGGCGCCCCTTAAATATTTCCAATGAAAATTTAACATCTGAACTGAAATGAGCTATTAGTATAAAAAATACACACCAGAATTCAAATATACAAATATAAAATATTTCATTAATAATTTTTATAACAATTGCATATGAAACGGTAATTTGGCTACCCTAGGTTAGAGAAAATACATTATTAAAATTAATTTATTTCCTTTTATATTTTTCAATGTGGCTACTAGAAAATTTTATTTTATTTTTTTTAAAGATTTTATTTATCTGTCAGAGAGAGAGCGAGTGAGCACAAGCAGGGGGAGTGGCAGGCAGAGGGGAGAGCAGACTCCCTGCTGAGCAAGAAGCCTGATGCAAGACTCGATCCCAGGACCTGGGATCATGATCTGAGCCGAAGGTAAACACTTAACTGACTGAGCCACCCAGGTGTCCCGAAAATTTTAAATTACATATGTGACATGAATTATATTTCTTTCGGACAGTGCTACTCTAGAGTATGTCAATTCATTCATATCTTATGTAGCCTAGAGAAGTTGATGGTTTTCTACACATATCTTCACAAATCTCTGCATTTATTATGATTTTTCTTAAGCATTTTAGAAACTGTTGTGAATGGGGTTCTTCCTTATTTCTTTTCCAATGTAGTGTTCCTCTTCTTATTTGCCAGATGGAGCCCAGGATGACAAATGCAGGTAATAGATGAAAGTCAAATCACACCTTTATTATTTTGGCCAGGGATCAGCAAACTACAGCTTGCAGACCCAATCTGGCCCACCACCTGTGTTTGTAAATAAAGTTTTATTGGAACTCAGCCATTTCCATTTGCTTCCGTATTGTGTGTGACTTTGGCAGAGCTGAGTAGTTGTGACAGAGTTTGGCACTCAAAGCATAAATATTTACTATGTGACCCTGTACAGAAAGTTTAATGGATCGTGATTTAGATACAGCCCTGATTTAGCTACAGACGATGAAAAGAATAGCTGCAGACTCTGAAAAAGAAGTTAGAAAAATATTTTGGGCAGTAGTGGCATGAGTGGAATTAGCCTTGAATTTCCTAAGATGGTCCCTTTGAAGAGGAGAGCATGCATATAAATATTAAGTTGTGGGCTTCCGTTATAAAGTAAATCAACTTGGGTGGCTCTCAAGGGAATTATGCTCCACGAACAAGCCAGTCTGCAAAGGTTCCATACTGCAGGATTCCATTTACATAACATCCTTGGGAGGATAAAATTATACAAATGAAGAATCGATTAGTGGTTGTCAGGCATTAGGGGAGGGAGCAGGTTGTTCTGGTTAAAAAGGGCAACATGAGGGATCCCTATAGTGATGGAATTTTCTGTATCTTGACCAGGGTGGTGGTTACATGAATCTTCACATATGAAAAACTAAACACACATACACACACAGGTGCATAAAAACTAGTGAAATCACAGCAATATTAGTGGACTGTATCAATGGAAATTTCCTGGATGTGATGTTGCATGACAGGAATGCAAGATGTTATCACTAAGGGACACAGGGTACAAAGGATATTTCTCTTGTTTCTTATAACTGCATGTGAATTTATATTATCTCAAAAATTTAAACAAATCAATAAAAAAATATAAAGAGAAAGAGAACCAATCCTATTACTTTAGACTCCTTCTTCTTTGTCCTATGAACCGTGTATAAGATGGAACAAACATGGAAGATTATAAACAGGGTTCATTCTGTGTAGATGCCAGAGCTCCCAAAGCACCAGCACCTGCTGTGTGTACTCATTCAGGTGTGGACCTAACAGCTGCCCACGTGGACAGCAGGCCAGGCCTCTACGGTGGGTGGTCACTTCGTTAACGTTACTGCCCGGCATCATGTCACACCCTGTCCATGCATGCGTGGTCCCTACAGAAAGGAGCTTATAGTTTGTGATCTTTTCATAGAATAACGTTCGAAGAATCCCAACTAAACTAAACTAAACTGCACAACATGGGAGCACCTGGGTGGCTCAGTATGTTAAGCGTCTGCCTTCAGCTCAGGTCATGATCCCAGGGTCCTGGGATCGAACCCCGCATCGGGCTCCCTGCTCAGCAGGGAATCTGCTTTTCCCTCTGCCTCTAACCCCGCCCCGCGCTCGTGTGCATGCGCATACATCTACGTTCTTAGGGGGCTTTGTATGCCTTGTACTCTCTCGCAAATAAATAAAATCTTTAAAAAAAATAAACTAAGCTGCACAACATGGCAAGAAAATGGGCTTTGCATTAAATGGGAACAGATACCACCTACCTCCTGGGTGAACGTGAGAAGAAAATGCATCTCGAAGGTGTTCAATAAATGTGAGCTATTATGAACCACTGAGAATCCCAGGCTGGAATGCATCCCCTGCTTGGAGGCTGAGTTGGGACTCACATTGACATGCCTGAACAGAGCTTGGCATCTGTCTGCTTCCTGGAAGCCCTGTTGCAGCACCCCGTGCCAGCCCCAGGGCCTCACGGAGGAGTCCACATGCCAGCCCTAAGCGCAGGCAGGCACAAGGCAGGGAAGCTTGCAAGATCTTACCGCTTCCCCACATCCTGGAGGCAGAGCCCTTAACTTGCATGTACCTGCTCCTCTACAGAGCCTTCCCAGCAGGCCCAGGAAGGGTGAGCTCTGCTGTGGGGGGCCAGGTAAAGGCATGCACCTATGTTTAACACAGCTCCCTGCGAGAAACCTCAAAGGCAGCCCTGCTGACTTCATGGGGAAAAACTCCAAGAGAGGAGAACCTGACTTATTCCTGGAGGCCTTTTCTACTGACCTTGATGCCTCCCCAGGCCTGATGGGAGAGGAAGTCCACGGGACTGGTGACACCCGTCTGTCCTGGAGATCGAAGCAGGAAATCCAGCTCTGCCACATCAACTTCCCGGTTCATGAGGAGAATCTGCAATGTAGAAGAATGGTACCACATTTCTTTAGGGGGTGGGAGTCCGAGGGTTCTGGAGATCTTGGGGTTGGCACCCAGGGTAATTATTGCTGCTTTGAACCCTAGAGTTTGCCACCAGTTTTGGTTGTTGAAAGAGGATGGAGTGCAAGAAATTGGGTATCTCCACCTCACACCAGTCAGAATGGCTAGAATTAACAAGTCAGGAAACGACAGATGTTGGCGGGGATGTGGAGAAAGGGGAACCCTACTACACTGTTGGTGGGAATGCAAGCTGGTGCAGCCACGCTGGAAAACAGTATGGAGGTTCCTCAAACAGTTGCAAATAGAGCTACCATACGATCCAGCAATTGCACTACTGGGTATTTACCCCAAAGATACAAATGGTATGTGCACCCCAATGTTTACAGCAGCAATGTCCACAATAGCCAAACTGTGGAAAGAGCCAAGATGTCCATCGACAGATGAATGGATAAAGAAGATGTGGTATATATACACAATGGAATATTATGCAGCCATCAAAAGGAATGAGATCTTGCCATTTGCAACGACGTGGATGGAATTGGAGGGTGTTATGCTGAGTGAAATAAGTCAATCAGAGAAAGACATGTATCATATGACCTCTCTGATATGAGGAATTTTTAACCTCAGGAAAAAACTGAGGGTTGCTGGAGTGGTGGGGGGTGGGAGGGATGGGGTGGCTGGGTGATAGACATTGGGGAGGGTATGTGCTATGGTGAGTGCTGTGAATTGTGCAAGACTGTTGAATCACAGATCTGTACCTCTGAAACAAATAATGCAATATATGTTAAGAAAAAAAAAAAGAAGATAGCAGGAGGGGAAGAATGAAGGGGAGTAAGTTGGAGGGGGAGACGAACCATGAGAGACGATGGACTCTGAAAAACAAACTGAGGGTTCTAGAGGGGAGGGGGTGGGGGGATGGGTTAGCCTGGTGATGGGTATTAAAGAGGGCACGTTCTGCGTGGAGCACTGGGTGTTATGCACAATGAATCATGGAACACTACATCAAAAACTAATGATGTAATGTATGGTGATTAACATAACAATAAAAAAATAAAAAAATATCATTATCCGGAAAAAAAAAAAGAAAGAAATTTGGTATCTGTGCAAATCACTCCTGGGTGTGTGTGTATTCGCCCCAAATAACTAACCCTAAACCTTGGTTAGCAAGCATTTCGTACATCAGTCCTAAAGGCCACGGAGTACATCCCCGCAATAGAATTAAGAAGATGACACATACAGGGGCGCCTGGGTGGCTCAGTTGTTAAGCATCTGCCTTTGGCTCAGGTCATGATCTCAGGGTCCTGGGATCGAGCCCCGCATTGGGCTCCCTGCTCCGTGGAAAGCCTGCTTCTCCCTTTCCCACTCCCCCTGCTTGTGGTCCCTCTCTCGCTGTCTCTATCAAAAAAATAAATAAAATCTTCAAAAAAAAAAAAGATGATACGTACAAATGACATGATTTGAGGAGAATGTCGAAGTCACATGTAGATATACGCAAAACAGAAATGCATACATGAATCAATAATGAGAAAGTTTCCAGAATAGGGGAGTGGCCAGCAAGCAGGGGTGAGGAGATTAATTTGATTAAACCTTCTATATGTGGTTTTGAATTGGGTGTTGGAGAAGCTAAGAGGTGGGACTATCTAGGCAGGGAGGGAAGGTGCTCCGGAGAGGGACTAAGGAGTGGGCAGAGGCTAGGAGGGGGAGTTGGTGAGGAGTGTGCAGGGGAAGGTAGAGTGCGCTCTAGAGCTAATGCTTCACACTGAGAGGTGCTTGGGAAATTGTCCATCCCCCTTTAAATGGTGTTCTGTGCTCAGAACAGATGGGAATGCTCACTAAGAAATAATAATTTGGCAAGTTTGAGGAAGAGTCTCTAAGGGAGGAAAAAGGCCTGGTAAAATGAAGTTAAAATATTTATGAGGAGAGAAGAGCGAAAGCTAGGGTTGGAAGCTCCTTGGGACCTGGGGGCAATGAGTGTCAGGAGGGAAGATGCTGGGGTTCAAGTTCTTTTTTTAAGTAGGCTCCATGCCCAGCATGGAGACCAACGTGGGGCTCAAACTCACAACCCTGAGATCAAGACCTGAGCTGAGATCAAGAATCGGATGCTTAGCTGACTGAGCCACCCAGGTGCCCCAAATTAAACATTTTTAAAAAGTAATCTCTGTGCCCAGTGTGGGCTCAAACTCACAACCCCAAGAGCAAGAGTTGCATGCTCTGCTGACTGAGCCGGCCAGGTGCTCCAAGTTCTTTTTATGATGGCCACACTCATCTGGGCTGGAGAGGGAACACAGAGGGTAAGGGGGACAAGCCACACTACCACACCCCCATGCATTCAGGCTTTGCAACATGTAAAAAGAGCCAGCCCAGAAGTGATCATAGACTGTCTGGTGTCTAGAATTGAAAGAGGCCTTCAAGATAATCTAGTGTGTGCTCCCAATTAACTTAGGGAAAAAATTCCCAATCCTAAATGATTAGAGGGATGAATGCAAGAAAATAAGGTTTTCTTGGCTTTTTGAAGTTGATAATAAGTGGAAGACAAGGTTTTTCTCATTAACACTGGAAGTTCCTGATGCACCCAAACCCTTGAGAATCAGAGTTCTTAAGGACCTCTTCAAGGCCAAGGCTGCCATGGCTATGGAAAGCATTTGTAATTTCTTATTCCATGGGAAGTTTGGGACATTAAACCCACATCTCTCAAGGTAAATAAATAATGAGGATGTTGTAAATTTCTTACAGCATCTCAAAAAGTATCTAGTTATTTGTATGGCCATTGAGTTTCATCGTTTGTGCCAGTTTGGCACAAACTGGTAGGCTGCTGGAGGGCTATGTTGAGGAGGATCTTAGGTAATCCGAGGAAAACAAGAAGTCCAACAGTTGATCAGCCATGGCTGCCATGAGTGGGACAATAGTGAGGCAGCACGCGTGCACCATATTGGACCTTCTTGTCCGATGCCTCTGCTTAGAGCCAAACTGTCTTCACATTCTATGGGAAGCGTTATGAAAAGAAGAAACTTTCTTTACACCTGCTGGTTGGGCACTGAAAAATGACCTCTTTTCTAGAACTTCTTCAATCCACTTTTACCTGAAAGGTAAGCTGGGCAAGATAGGTCAGCTTATCACACTCGAAAAGCCCACGGGTGGTGTACTGGTACACAGAGAAGGTGATGCTGTCTATCAGATTGGTCACACGCTCCTTGAGGCTCTCATCTGGGGCAGCCTTCTCCACAGCCTTCTGGAAGACGATGCTGAATGCCTGGGGGCAGGAGGTTGGACACTGGTAATTTACACAGATCTCTTTGTATATAGCTAGTAAACTTAACCTGTGAAGAATATTGTAATTTGCCAGCCACAGAAATGTTTTCCCAGCATATCCTGCCAAGAAGGGACCGTGGCAACAAGACAACATGCTATTAGCTCTTTTCTTAGTTTGCTTATATGAATTATTATGTTGCCATGAAGTGGGCAAAGCTTTGAGGCATACAGACAAGAGCCTACAGTTTTGACCAGTGAAAAGTGACTATCCAGTAGCCCAAATCATTAAATTAGATCCAGGAAGTTTTGTTGGATAACTACCCCCAAAAAACACAGCCAACAATAACCAGTTGGGGTTAATGATCCGAGCCAGTAAATTCCAGATTTCTTGATGGTAGAACCAAAATGTGTTGGACAAATTTGTTGTCTTAAAGGGCCCCTTGTAAACATCCTGGGCACTCAGAATATTTTAAAATAATTATTTTTCCATTTGGGAATGATCAGAATCTCATGTTTGTATTTCTTCCTATGAACTGCGCATTCATTTGGAGAGTCCACTTACATGTTCCTTATTTCCTGATAGACGCTTCCTTCAATCAGAGAGCAGGGAGCATAGCCTACTTTGGCTACATCTTCTGAACATGAAGGCTTTCATATGAAATACCAATTTACATGAATCAATTTTTCATTATTTTAAAGTATACAGCATTTATAAAAGTAAATATTAGTAATGCTACATCTTGAATGTGATATTTATACAACACATCATTAAAGGAAATCGAAATCAAGCTATCATTGGGCCTTTTCAATTCGTGGCTATGCAGATTTCCAGTCTTTCTTTATTTTCCTTTCGTGGCTTCAAAAAGAAAATAAAAAAATTCTTAGGTCTTTCTAACACCAGGTATTTGAACCTCAATGGAAATGATATACAATCTGTGTCTCGATATTTCCTCATTTGCAAAATGGGGGGGATATGAATTCCTCTATTTCATAGTTCCATTGTGTTTCTTGTTACTGAAACCCTTGCAGCCTTCCTTCTTCATTCAGTGTTGAGGACTGCAGCAACATCTTCTGACCACCCTCAACCCAATCCCTTGGGATGTTTCCCTGCACCTGGAAGGCTGGGGATTGGAAGAACAGCTTGGTAGAAGCAGATCTTGCCCTGCAGTTCCACACAGAGCAATTTGAGAAACTCCCCTTGCAGAGCAGGTCTGTAGAGACCGGGTGGGTATCTTCCCTCTCCCCACCAGTGGTTAGTGTGGTACTTTTTCCCCTAAAACTCTCTTTCTTGAAATGACAGCAATCAGTAAATAATTTCTAGTTACTAAGCTTAAACAAAGTGATTCGCAAGTCAGGAAAAGATCAAAAGAACATTTAAGGACCTAAGTACACTCAGCATTTTCTTTACACTCCACTAACTCTGGCTCGCTTTTCCTTTTCATCCTAAAAAGGACCCCTTGTCCTGCTTTCACTTCCAGTGTCTGCAGAGCCCGGCGCTGGGCTGACTTCCGTTTGCACGACCCCTCTTGGAGGTCGTCTGCTGCACACACAGTCTTATGGCTGGCTCTAGCCACCTTGTTGCCCTTCCAGGGCCCTTGTCCATTGCCTTGTGCCTTAGATATGTTTCATCTTGTCATTTATCAGATTGTGGGCACACTGAGGTCAGGTCTCAGCAACTTTCTTCTCTTCCCTAGAATCCAGCCCAGCTCTTCACGTATGGAAGTCACTGGAAAGATCTGTTAATGAATGACTGTGTCCCACTAGTGCCCTGAAGAGCTTAGGCAGAGCATGAGAGATGCTCCAGACCAGGGATCTCAAACTCAAATGCCTCCAGGGACCGGGTGTGTAAGACCAAATTGGGAGCGGGGGAAAGAACACGGTCACGGGGAGGCACAAGCCCATCTGGGAGCAGCCATCCCTTAGCTCTGGCAAATACATGCCCTGCGTGGAGCGTAAGCTCAGTGTTGCCAAATCTTACAGACTTTCGTGGGAAGCCAGAAATTTGGGTTTGTATGAAATCTCCTCACTTTTAAATCTTCACACCCAAGGAAGGTATATGAAAAGCCCTCTGAAAATAGGTCAACAGGCCTTCAGCTCTGTGCTCTTTGCTTCTATGTGATTCTTCCCTTCCCTGTCTCTTTGAGAAACCTCATTCCTGCAGCTGGGTCCCTCCATGCAAGGTGCACGACAGAGGGAGCCGGGTCTTCCATCAGTCCACAGGGAACCTCAGAAAGGTGCTGTCCTTCTCAGGACACCCTGAGCACCTGGCAAGTGAAGTCTCATTAACCCCTCTCTTTGCCTTGGGCTGAGTTTTGAAGAAAAATGACAATCACATAGGTTTCATCTTAACCATGTTATGAACTTCCAAGCTTGTTTACGACTGGCTCTTGAAGAGTTTTTGCTTGTATAAAAGCAAATAGACACATTTGAATATATTCCTGCTCAAAACAATTTAGAGGACTGGGATGTGCGGCCCTTGCTCTGAGAATGCCTCTCCTTTCTCTGGAACAACAAATATCGAGTCCAACCTCAGACCAAAGCCAAGACCACAGAGACTCCTGTGGCTGGTTTTTCGTCAAATCACACAAGGCTTCGAAGTGTACTGTTGTTTTGGTGCCTCTGAAGACACTTCATCGCCTTATCATTAAGCATTTAAATCTGCTTTCAATGACCAAGCTGGTCGGCAATTCTTAACAACAGTATGGGGCCCCAAAATGCCCTCCTCCCCCAAATAGCACTTCCAATGATGAAACAAGCCTCTATCGGGATGCTATTGCTGCAAAACAACTTACAACATCTTTGGGAACACATATTTTCATGGGTTTCATTTAATTTCTTTTCAACTACTCTCAGAACTAGGGAGCAATCTTGCAGTTATGAGGCTTATCATGCTAACTTTCACACTGTCTTAAAATATTTCATAATTCTTTCATCTGTTGCTTTGACCTGAATACAAGGTTAAGTATTAGATTTCTTTTAAAAACATAAAATATAATTAATTTTTTAGAGGGGTGGGAGGGGTAGAGGGAGAGAGAGAGAATCTTAAGCAGGTTCCACACCCAGCGTGGAGCCCCTTGTGGGGCTCGATCTCATGACCCTGAGATTATGACCTGAGCCGAAATCAAGAGTCAGATGCTTAACTGGCTGAGCCACCCAGGTGCCCCAAACCATAAAATATTATAAACACATTTCATGTAATCTGCAGAGACTCTGAGTTGAGGGAAGGGGACATGGAAATGGTTAAACACCACCTGCAATTTAATGAGCTCCAGGTCCTGGAGACATTCTGATTTCTCACCAGCTCACCTCCATCCCCACACCGTGGCCCCCATATGGCAGTTTACCTTCCCAGAGTGAGCTGTGTGCTCTGAGTGTGTGTATGAGGGTGTAAGTGTGTGTGTCTCTCCTCCGTTAAGTCAAACAAGGAGGTTGTTCAGAAATACCCCACTACCCCTGTTGCCACTTCAACTGTGGTCTTTCCGTGAACACCCTAGGGGAGAAAGATAGACTTTTAGCAACTTGCTTAAAATTTATAGGGCTTTATGTTTTCATTAGTAAGTTAAGTTTAGTCAGCACTTACAATTTGCTAACGTCTTTGGTTTAGAAATAATTTCAGCAACCATAAAGCAGTAGCTTTGAGGATATTAGGGTAGTAAGACAAGTCACTTAAGGATGGGCTGCGATTATTGCCTGCTTTGGTCTTTAACTGGTATGAATGACATGCACCTTTGATTGTCCCTCTATCATATTTTAAGATCTTTGGGGGCAGGGGTCACTTCTGATATTTCTTGGTCCTCCTCCCTGCAATCAGTAAGCTCAGCACCCACCATGTCATCTGTGCTCACTGAGTGAGTCAGCCATCTTCTGTTCCAGCCGAAGTAACCCGTGAGTCCTGAACGACCCAATTAAAGAGATGAAGATTGTAATGTTGGTCTGAAGGCACTGTAGCTGTCTTCCCGGACTTGATCTGGAAGACCTGCCCTAGCTAATGAAGCCCACGGATAAGCTCTCACAGAGAGTTGTGGTGGCTATATTACGATGATTATGCAAAAAACTGCAGGTGTAAGTCACCTTGAGAGAAAACTGGTACATCGGGTGGATCTTGCTGAGGTCATTCATGATGAAGTAGAGCAGAGAGGCTCGGGCAGCTGCTGGCCGGTAGTGCTCTCGGGCCTCATTGATTTTCACTTCTGTCACCTTGGCCTCTTGGACCTGTTAAGGAGGGAAACAGTGGTCCATTTTTCTAACCAACCCATCAGCCTGGCCTCTCTGTGTCAATACACGTGTCTGTGTGCGGAGGGAGGGATGGGTCTGGGTGGGGATGGCAGCCAGAAGGTTAGGAAGCTGCCATGTTAATTAATTAATTAATTAATATTTTGGAGAAAGAGAACACACACATGCTTGTGCATATGTGCATGGGGGAAGGGGCAGAAGGAGAGAGAGAATCTTAAGCAGGCTCCACACCCAGTGTGGAGCCTGAGGTGGGGCACAATCTCATGACCCTGGGATCATGACCTGAGCCGAAATCGAGAGTTGGACACTTAACTGACTGAGCCACCCAAGTGCTCCATGCTGTGGTATTTTTTTAGTAGTGCTTGAGTGAGAAAGGAGGCGACATACTCCATCTTTCACGAGGGTGAGAGTGCTAGCTCTTCCAGCTGGGAAGTGTGGGCCATGCAAGCTTCTGAGCTCCATTTCAAATGAGAAAGATTTCATGGAAAAAATATATACAACTTGAAAATAAATAAACTTATATATATATATTTACATATATATTACTTGAAAATAAACCAGAGTTCCAGGCAGTGAAAATCCAGTGAAGAGAGGAAGAAAAGATGGTGGAGAAGTAGGGGACCCTATTTCAACTGGTCCCCGGAATTGAGCTGGATATCTACCAGACCACTCTGAGCACCCGTGGAACCAGCCTGAGATGTAAGAAGATCTGGATCTCTACAAACAGAATATCGCAGGTGGTTGGTTTTGAGGTACGAAGTGGGGAGCCCTGATTCTGGGGGCAGATTTTGGAGGATAAACGGCAGCGGGAGGGAGCCTATCCGTGGGGATCCTACACCGCCAGTGAGCGACAGCCTTGAGTGCTGGTGACAGGGCACAGACTCACAGACTGGTAGCGGAAGTGAAGGACTTTAGGGCAGCCCCCAGGATGGAAACCCAGAGTGGAGGGATCGTGCGTGCAATCTGGGAGTGGCTGGCGGTTTTAGAAGCACAAAGGGCAGAGATGTGCCCCAACCTGGAGGCAGGACTGGGGGCGCTGCGGAGGGGCGCACAACCCAGGACACTGCAGTTTAGAGCAGTATGGACAGAAACGGAGACAGTGTGGCCTGGAGAGCTCACTGAAGAACGGACTGCAATCTGCTCTGAGACAGAGGGTTGAAAATGGTCTCTTCTGCTCTGACTTGCGGAAGAGATGCAGAAAGCTGCCAGGGAAAGCTGCCAGAGAACAAAAGCCCCCAAAACTGATTCCCGCTGAACCCATCCCCCGCCACAGGGGGGCAGGGCAAATCCGCCCAAACAGGGTTGCCTGAGTCACAGCGTGGCAGGCCCCTCCCCCAGAAGACAGGCTGGGAAAACAAGAGGCCAGCAACCCTAAGGTCCCAAGAAAACAGGTGCATCTTGCTTGGGTTCTGGTCAATAATTTGGACTCTATACATTCCCTCAAACACCCATCAACAGAATGACTAGGAGGAGGAGCCCCCAAAATAGAAGACTCAAAGATTATGACTTATGAGGCAGATTTACAAATGGATGCAGATATAACCAAGATGTCGGAGATGGAATTCAGGCTAGCAATTGTGAAGACAATGGCTAGAATGGAGAAATCAATTAATGGCAACATAGAGTCTCTAAGGGCAGAAATGAAAGCTGATTGGCAGAACTTAAAAATGCTATCAACGAGATAGCATTGATCCAATCTAGATCCAATCCAATCTAGATTATCTAACAGCTAGGGTAAGTGAGGCAGAAGAACGAATAAGTGACCTGGAAGACAATTTAATAGATAAAAAGGGAAAAGAGGAGGCCAGGGAAAAACAACTCAGAATCTATGAAAATAGAATCAGAGAAATAAGTGACACCATGAAGCATTCCAATGTCAGAATAATTGGAATCCCGGAGGGAGTGGAGAGAGAGAGAGGACTAGAAGATGTATTTGAGCAAATCGTAGCTGAGAACTTCCCTAATCTGGGGAATGAAACAAACATTTGCATCCTAGAGGCAGAGAGGACCCCTCCCAAGATCAAGGAAAACAGTCCAACACCCTGGCATGTAATAGTAAAACTCGCAAATCTTAGAACAAAGGAAACCATCTTAAGGGCAGTCAGGGGGAAGAGATTCCTTTCATACAGAGGGAGGAACATCAGAATGATGTCAGACCTATCCACAGAGACCTGGGCAAGCCAGAAAGGCCTGGCAAGACATATTCAGGATACTAAATGAGAAGAACATGCAGCCAAGAATACTTTATCCAGCAAGGCTGTCATTTA